GGGGGGGGGTGCGGTGATGTGGCGGTCTGGGGAGTATGTTGTTGTCGTGCCAACAGCATCTAGTTTGTTATAATATTTACTGTGCTGAGGTTTATGTTAAACATCACTTGCATGCTCTCAAAGTGCAGGCTTCTTGATCCATTCTTGATTTTTGTTGAAGGATTATTTTTTTTGCACTCCTCAGGTTTTTGATGTATTATGAAAAAGCAGAAAAAAATATGTATAATAGCTGTGTATTATATACCTTTTTTTCTTTTTCTTGGCCCAAGTTACTTTTTGTAATGTCGTTTCATTATGTCTGGTGGGTGTATGCTTGAAAGTCTTACTGGATATGGTGACGATATTTCACTACATGATTCCCAAGAAAGCCACTTCCTTTAGGACTTTAAAAACGCATTTGTAATTGCAGCTTGTCACTTGGGTGCCAGAATTTAAGCCGAGATTCCAAATAGGTATTTAATTGGACTGAGCAAACGTGGAAAAACTGATCAGCAAGTGATGGGTGTGTCCAGTACAGCCTTGTTTGTCTGGCAATAAAATTCCAGAAATGCAAGAACACATTCTGCTTAGAGCCATTTAATCAGCTCAAAGAAACGGGAAGGATAAGTAGAAAACGTCAAAAAAAAAATGATGGCTGAGTTTAATTTGCTTTTGAAAACAAAATGAGGATCCCTATTTTCTCTTGTCAGGTTCATGAAGAGTGATACATGGAAATGTTATTTTTGTTTGGGAGGCTCCTCTGAATTCACATCACCTGTTAGCTGTCTCTCCTGAAACCATTCATGCCCTTATTTCCACATAATAGTGAAACCTGTGTCACCATAGGGTCTTCCACACAGATCTGTTCACCTCTGCTTCCAGAATGTGGTGTTATGGTTGATTATACATGATTTTAAGCTGTTTTTTTTTTTGTTGTACGTAGGGATTACTTGATAACGCACCATGAATCTAGACCGGTCAGACTCCCAGGAATCTCTTGATGGTCCTGATGATGAGGTTATGCCATACAGTGATGATGAAACGGACGATGAACTGGAGCAGATATCCGAGGGTGAGGAACCAGAGGTACCTCCAGTAGTGGAGGTCAAGCCTACTGGTGAGTATTAATCTTGGCTAATAACTTCCTTAGTAAAGTGTCCCTTTTTATTTTTGATGCATATTTGCTTGTTTCACATTCTTTGTTCTACCATTGCAACCAGCTGTTGAAACTGCAATTTTGTTGAAACTGCAATATCTCTGACTTTTGGACTTATGTACTGGAAAATGTACATATTTTATCACTATGGTTTCTGACTGTTTTAAATACTGGTTTATTTTTGATTTATTCAAAAGTGTCGTCATGTACTGATCTCACTCTTCTTTCTAGAGGGTCCCTGGAAAGTCCGTGCAAATGACCGAGATTTCTGTAACTTGCCTGAGTTCCAGAAACCAGCCCTTCTCTGCTTCAAGAAGAGCAAGTATGCTGTAAGCCTCTAACACTCATTTCATTCCTTATTGTGGCGTAGGACTTAGCAGACTTTGTGTGAAAGCTGTTGGGTGTTTTACTGCTCTTAGAATTTGGATGTTTGTTCCACGTGGTCAGAATAAGGAACGAGGCTAAAAACATATAATCATCAAGGACCTAAGGAGGAGTAGGGCCGCCCTTCTCTCAAAAAAAAGTCCTGAAGTGTATGCATTAGGTCCAGTAGATCTTTTTGAAGATGAAAACACCCAATTCTATTTGAGGATGTAGGAGGTAGTAATCTGCTTCACATTGTGATATAGGTGTAGATCTTGTAACTGGGGAGGCCGTGGAAAGTGTTTGCCTGAAACCACTTCTGAACGTATTTAGTGTTGTGTACAGGTGTTTTACCATGTACCTGATACTGCATATTGCTTGGCCGTTATACCACCATGCAGAGTAATCAGAGGACTGGTAGACTTAATGTCTGTAGAGATGGCTGCCCATCCCATTACTGTACTCCATGTACTCCACACTCCATTTACCAGTTAGTAGACCATGTTATTTTTCTCCGTTGGTCAAGGACTCAGGCTTTGTCTTCCTTACACCAGGGAATGCATCTCTGCATTGAACACAAATTTATTTTAAAAATTTCTTCTTAATGTGGTGTTTTGCACTTCAGGGTCACCATATGCGTACGGGTATATGCTGTTGTATCTTGAATAGCTCTTCATTTGCATAATTGGTAATTAGTTACAAAGTGTTACATTTTAATACTGTATGCAGCAAAGAGAAATTGTTGCATTAATCTGTATTCTTTCGCTATTTGCCATACATTTCCTGAAAAGTGCATTGAGTGTAAATAAAAAGTGAAATCTTTTTATTAGAGAGCATGAAAGATCTGAACCATAATAAACATACTTTTGAATGAAGGCCTCATTTGAGAAAAGAATTAGGTTTGACAAGATCTTTTGAGTTGGTTCAGAAGAGTTTAGGTAATATACCCATATCATGCCATTTTCACTTGCTTTTTATCTATGATTTGTTCCCTTTCATTACATGCAATTTGTTCATTAATATTAATAGCTAAATATTAGCTATTAAAATAGTCCTATGATAAGTGTTATGTGCCTACCTGTGATTGTTTTCTAAGCATTGATTTATTTCTTTTATAGGGAAATGCCATCAAGACATACAAGTATAATGTTTTCACATTTATACCATTTAACCTATATGAACAGTTCAAAAGAGCAGCAAATTTATATTTTCTTGTATTACTGATTTTACAGGTAAGTGTGAAAGTGCTTGTGTTGTAAAATTCTGTCTTCAAGTATACTTGGATGTTTCGTAATCAGTTACTGGTTTGGTAATAATGTTTTAAATTTCATCTAACTAAGGTAACACAAGAAGTTAATTTGTCTTATGTTTAGTGGTCTAAAAATATTTAAGGTGCATCCACAGTTGTATTTTTTCACTGTTAGTAGGGGCAGATGAGCTCTCTGCCAGTTTTCTGTCAGTTCCATGATTTTTATGGTAGTGCTGTAGGTCTGGGTGGGGGGGGGTGTAATTATAGCTTTGGGCAGTGAATACATGTGGGTGATGAGGAGGAATGAACGGAATGGAGGGCTTTGGGAAATCAATCAGTACTTTGTGAAACACTGCATTGTGTGTCAGGTGTACTTGTATTTTCTGTTGTGAGAATGATCGTGTGCATTGTGTCAGCATGCCAGTTTTGCTTTTTGTATACTTTTATTTGCACTTTAATTTTACATTTCCTATTGCCTCTTTAGATCATTCCTCAAATTTCTACATTGCCTTGGTATACTACCCTTGTGCCTTTAGTTATTGTTTTGGGAATCACAGCTATTAAAGACTTGATAGATGATCTGGTGAGTCTCAGTGCACTTTGCTGAATTTGTGTTTTATTTCCATATATTTAGATTTTTTTTGTTGTTAATGGTTAAAATTAAATGGTTAATGGTTAAAAAATGGTTTAAATTGCTGAAATGGCGTAGACAAACATGTCTGAAATATGTTGGTAAAAATTCTTTGTGACCTACTGATTAAATGCATCATGTATGATCATTGCTCCTTGAAATCGTTCAATTGTGCTGATTCAGTAAATGCTATGCAGGTCAGTACTAGATGTGTTGTCTTTATCTGTGTGCATTTAAACCAGTTCCTTTGCATTGGACCCTTTATGCAGGCACGTCACAGGATGGACAAGGAGATCAACAACCGGAAATGTGAAGTTTTATCTGATGGCAGGTACTGTGTGGACTAGTCGTGACTAGTTTGTTTTGATGCTAGTTTACAGTGTTGTACTAGATTTATACCTAATATGATGGACAAATTAGCTCTTTGGAATGTTTTGTGAAATGTGTTTTTTTTTTTTTTAACTACTCAGTATTCAATGATTTATGTGTCTTTGCCGTGTGTGTGCGTGT